CCAGCCAGTTTGTCCCAGGAAAGGCCCTGCCTGTCGTGTCTGTGCCTAGAAGTGCTACACTCGTGGAAGTGGCCTCCATGAGACCTGGAAGGAGTTGTGTTCTCTCCTTGGTGCTGTTTCTGTTGTTTTTGTCTGGCTGGGGGCACCAGGAGGAGGAAGGGCAGCAGCAAGGTGCTCTCGGTGTGGCTGTGCAGGGGCTGCATTTTATTTTTAGCCGTGGTCCTTCTCAGCTTGGTGTGTGGTGTGAAATTGGTTCCTCTGCGACCAGAGTTTTTGGAGAGACACCGAGGATCCCAGTGCCAAGGGAGTCTGCAGACTCAGGGTTCACATTGCCACGCAGAACGTAACTTATGGCTGCCTATTTTTAACAGGCCATGGAAGTAAAGCATTCCATTAATTACGCTGTGTGTGTGGGGAGCGGGTATTTTTATATAATGAAGCATGCACTAGAGGAATGAATTGTAGTCCTTTGCACAAATAAATTGTTCTTAAAGGCATAGAAAGAAAGCATGGTCCCCAGGAGCTCTCAGCCTGCATACTGGGAAGGCCAAGCCCTGGGCACCGAGAGCTGCGCCTCCTGCTTCCTGGCACAAATGAAAGCTGGCCACGCTTTAGAAATTGTGTATTTCTTTTCTTTTATAAAATGAGTGCTAATTTTGGCAGCAGATATTTGACATATTAATCATTTCCTTTCCAGGGTAGTGTGAAGTAAAAAATAAAATGTGGACTTTCTGCTGAAAATGTCTGGGTTGGGGGACGCGGTCCTGATGGGCTCCTAGTCGTGCCGATTCCTGCCCGGGCCCCTCAGACCACACGGGCACTGAGGTAGAGCCTTGCGTCTGGTCCCAAGTGAGCTCTTGGTTCTGTCTTCCTGTGTCCCTCGAGAAGACAGATGTCACTGTGCGTTGTGACACCTGGGACTATCCTTGGAGCGGGGACACCCTGGGTCACAGTGCCTGCCAGCAGCATTCAGCCAACTGTGCAAGTGATGAGAAGGAAACTTTGCCTCCTGTGTAAACTTGGAAGCTTTTCCAAGGTTTCTCATTGGTACCGCCTGCCAAATGTTCTGTAACAAACGCTCCACTTTTCATTTCATTTTAAACAAGTTCATGGAAGACACTGCTTTACGTAATGCGCCCTCTAATGTTAGGAAGCACCAGAGAGCCCACACAGAGCACATGGGGAAGTAGAAATGTGTAATAAAGTGCCTTTTCGGTGCTGTGGGCAGTGGAGCCATGGGCACTGGTGGCCGGGTTGGAGCAGCAGCCTCCCCGTTCTGCCCTGGCCTGGTGTTTCTGGAAGACAGCTGAGGCGGAGCTGTGAAGCCGGCTGCTGCTGTGTGCCGCGGCTCAGGATGGCCCACATCCCCTTGGCCAGGCCACCTAACCTCAGCCCTGCTGCCGTCACCTGCTCTGTGCAGCACACGCAGCCCCCCTGGCTGGCATGTGGGGCATGCTCCGCGGGGCCCCAGGCAGGATGTGGGTGAGGCTGCTGCTCTCCCAGTGGCCCTGTGAGGGGTTCTGGGCTGGGTGGCAAGAGGAGAGGCTGTCGTTCGAGGCCCACGCGGTGTGGCATCCCTCTTCAGGAGTCAGAGAGACAATTGTCATGTTTGCCAAGGTGTCTCCTGGCTCTGGGTAGGGGCTGCTCACCAGGGAGACCAAGATGGTTGGGGTGGGGCTCCTGGCCCCAGCGCACTCGCCTGGCCAGTGAGTTAATAATCCCCTGTGCCCTTGTCATGAAGCTGGGCTTGGGGCCGTGGGCACAGCCAAACACGCGGTTTCTAGGAAGTCCCTAGACCCCCACCACGGGGCAGAGGGGCCCCTAACTCCCCTGGCGGATGTTGCACTCTAGGCCCCCACTCCTGACGGAGCCCACACTGCCCCGTCTCCTCGGCTGCGGGTCAGCAGGCACAGCCTTGCTGGGTCCCAGGGCTGCCCGACATGGAGGGTGGAGCCTCGGCCCAACGGGTGCAGGGAGGGGCTTGGGGGCCCGCGTGGGCTGTGTCAGCAGAGACTGGCGCCTCCCGCTGGCTCTCAGCCTCTGCAGGAGGGCGCTGCCTCCTGTCCTCCGCATTTTAGGCCCCGCCAGGATGTGCTATGAACATCGGGACAGGACACGCCACGTCAGAGCATCCAGCCCTGGACAGGGCACACGTCCTGGGGTTGGCGCATGTTCCAGTCCTTCTCAGGCTCCTCGTGTTACTCCTTTCACTTCAAACTCTTTTTTCCTGAGATTTTGTGTGCTTTTAAGCTAGATCTCGGAGGTTACTCAGTGCAGTCCCCTGTCGTGAGAGTGCAGCCTGGCATCTGGTGGTGGAAGCCGCTGCCACTGCCCCTCCCCAGGCCCAGCTCCTGCCTGTGCCCTCACCCTGCCGCAGGCGTCCTGGTCACTCTAGCCGCCGGGCCCCTCTGTGGTGACTGGTGGTGACCGGGGCGCTGGCTGAGGCCCCGCCAGTGGCTTCCCGTGGACAGCAGGTGGCACTGTAGGACCGCGTCAGCTGGGCTGCGGCTCTCACTTCCTTGAGACCAGCGCTGCCCTGGTGGATGCAGTGTGACCCTGAGGGACCTGCGGAACTGGACACAGTCCCATGGCTCACTGAGTCCGGGGTGCTTAGCCTGTCCTGTGAGCAGACACTTCCTCAGTCCATCCTGAGACACAGGCCGGAAGGGCATCTGCCACAGACCAGGACACCCTGTTTCTGTCACCATTTCCAGTTTAGTGCGGTTTTCCTGACTCGGCTGAGTGTCTCCGGTGGGTGGTAATAAGTCAGAATGCAAAGAACATCCCCGTTAACCTTTGGTTCCCGGCCTGTGGTCGGCGCCCTGCTGCAGGGCTCGGGTGACTGACGCAGGAGTGCTGGTCCTCAGTGAGCACACGGAGCAGCCTGGGCTGCAGGGGGTGCTCTGCAGGGATGCCGCCCACCCCGCTTACCTCTACTTCCCCCTCGGCGCCTCCGCCGCTGCCCCGGCTTGGCTTTGCCACTTGGCCGTAACTCTGTCATCTGGCTGGGCCCCTTAGATGGCTCTGGAGCCCACTGCCGGGGCCACGTGCGGCGTCCCTGCCTCTTCCTGGTCCGGGTGTCAGAGTGGGGAAGCGTGTCCCTGTGAAGTGTGCTCCCCTGGAGATGGCATCCACGCAAGAACCATGTCCGTTTGGAGCCCGCACCGTGGGGATCCTGTGCCTTAGACCCTGGCTGGGAGCAGTACGTTTTCCCAGTGGGTGATGCCGGCACGGGAGCCCAGCCTGTGGTGGTCTCGTCCTGCCAGGCTCTTCCCATGGCCGTGCTGCCCAGCACCTGCCCATCTGTGCCACCAATGACTCTTGGGAGTGTAATGGTGCCAGACCGCTGAGGCTGTGCCAGGCACATCCTGCCACCATCCTCAGTGATGTCCACACAGGAACTCTGAGGAGCCGGGAGGGTGACCACACACCAAAGGCCCTGCTCCCAGGAGGCGGCAGGCTCTGGCCAGGGCACTCTGCTGGTTGGTGCTCTGCAGCCATGGCCACGTGTGCAGATGTGCATGCAGGCTGTAGACTGTACAGCTCCAGAGGCATGGCCTGAGTGGTGTCCGTCGTGGTCATAGAACGGGTGGCCACACAGTACCCTCGTGTAGTCGCTGCACTTCCTCCTTCGCCTCGCTAGAGGGCGTGCTCACGAAAGCAGCTTGTCTGTCGGTCAGGGCACGACCCCTGTCAGGAGAGGCCCGCAGACAGGTTGGGTGAAGAAAAATCGGCTGTGCTGCCCCTTGCAGCAGCATCTGAGCACCACGACGCGGTGTCCTCTCTGAGGATTGATTTCGTGTAAACAGCTGACAAGGGAATGAGCGGCTCACTTAGCTCAGGATTCTGATGCAGTGAGCTTCGTTTCTCTTTTCCATAAGAGGAGGAAGATGTGTAAGAGTTTTATTCTGAATTAGTATTCTAGGGACATTAAATTTTAAGAGTCCTTACTCTGAGGACACTGATGAAAATAAAGTTAGGCAGCGGCATGTCAGGTGCCGAGTGCGTGTAGCCATCGTGGCTCCCTTGCAGGGGGGACTCCAGAGCCAAGCCAGCTCCTCTGAGGCTGGAAGGAGCCTAGAGCCTGTGTCAGTTGTAAACTGCGGGCAGGCTCGCCAGAGGCTGCATCTGCTCAGTGGGTTGGGCTTCCTGCTGCTCCTGTCTCTGGTTTCTCTTAAGTAACTCTGGAGGTGTCTGTGCCGCCGCTCCCTGACAGAGTAGAGTGGAGGGCGGTCGGTCGCCGGCGCTGAGCAGTGACCCTGAGCCAGCACCAGGGGCGCTGTGCACTGTGTATGTGTGTGCACTGGTGTGTGCGTTTGTGCACATGTGCAGCCTGCGTGCATGTGCGCGTGTGTGGTGTGCCCGTGTGGTATGTGCCCTTGTGTGTGTGCGTGTGTGGCATGTGCCCGTGGGTGTGCATGTGTGTGCCCGTGTGCTGTGTGCTGGCCCTGGTGACCCTGCTTGCGCCTCAGTCCCCGGCCCAGGGGCGGGGAAGGGCTGGCGATTGCCCCCGTCCGACGTTCACACCACACTGCCCTGCAGTAGCAGGAGAGCTGCCTCAGCGCAGGCCCAGACCCTGCATGAATGGAGCGTGTGGAAAGTGGCCGCAGTTCCCACCGGGGAGGCTCCTCGGGGATTCGTCTTGGCTGCTCCCGTCGGGGAGCCACTCGTCATCCGCGTTTGTCCACGTGTGCTATCTCCTTTTCTGCGCTCGGTCCTGTGGGTGATTTCCCTGCTATTTTAGGTTCCTGCGCAGCTGGGGCTCTGTCCCTGGAAAGCATGTAGGCTGCGCTCCCTCCCGTGTCCCGGAGCCGTGTGCCTGCATTGGAGGGCCGAGTGGCCCACGTCACTTGTGGTGGTGTGCCAGGACGTCGCTGTGGAGCTCTGCCCTTCCAGCCCAGTTCTGCCTAATTCTGCAGCGTGATGGACGAGCCCGGGGCGGAGGAGCCCGCTGGCCGTGGCGTCCCGTCAGCAGGGGGCGCCGTCGTCCCGCCTGCCCAGCAATCTGCGGCGTGATCCCCGGCGGCTGGGGACGCAGAATGAGCCGGGCTGGCTGGGGCCGGCAGCTGCTCCTCCACATGGCAGCCCTGGGCTCGGGAACTTTGAGCATGGGGGTCTTCCTCAGCGCCGTGGGGCGCCGGTGCAAGAGGCGGCGCAGGAAACGCTCTGAGAGAAGAGGTAACCGCTTGCATGTGCGCGGCACTCAGCCTGGGCGGCGTGGGCTGGGCTTGCGGCTGTGGCTTGGTCCCGCTGACGCCTGGCCCCTTCCTGCTCACTGCCTGTTTTCTCTGGGCGTTGTGCAGAAAGGGAGAGGGCGGCTTGCAGAGGGGAAGCAGAGTGGGTCTGTAAGCACGCGTAGAAGTCCTGTTCGCATCAGAGACTGAAATACATTTTGCTGAGATGTTTATGCAGCCTTCGAAGCTGGCGGCTTTCAGCATTGCAAAGTTTTTCCTCTGGAGACACATGGCTGTAGGAGAGAGGTTTTAGTCCCGCCACTGTGCCTCACGAATGACTTTCCTCTCCTAAATCTCCCCTTTGTGCTGTGGAAACCAAGATTGGCAACCCCTGGGGAGACACTGGTCTTTTAGGGGGAGGAGGGTGCGTTCCTCACGTTCAGTCCTCTAGGTGCAGCTCCGTCTTCTATGCGAGGCATGAAACCCGGATTCTTTTGTTTTAAAACCAGATTCAGAAGTTGCCCATGACGGTGACAATCACACTGTTGGATTTTGGAGGCGAAGAGTTCCTATGAAAGCTGCTGACAGTCCCGTGCCTGAGGTTGTCACTAGAAATGTCCCTGTGGGGAGAGGCTTGCAGCAGGGAGCACGGACACAGCCTGCTTTCCTGGGTGTCCCCTCATGCCGCCACCCCACGGGCCCAGGGGTGGCCTGTCCCGACGACAGGCTCTTAGGGTCTCTGCAGCAGATGGGGATCAATGAGCTGCAGATGTTCACGAGGGTCCTCAAAAGACCCTCACAGCTGGACCCTGAAGTCAGGAAAGCCCCACAGTTGAAGCCTCACTGGCCCTGCACCTTCCTGAGCTCCCTGCAGCTCCTGGCATCTGGAGCCACCTCCTGAGGCAGGAGAGGCACCCGCAGGGCCATGTCCCGGCCCCACAGGAGAAGTGGGCGAGCTGGGGTGGTCGGGCCTGCGGCTGAGTGACCAGTGTCCTCTGTGTGTGTGACTCCTGACACTTCATGAGGGGTACTGTCCCTAAAAGTAGAGAAGACGCCTTGGGAAATAACAGATAGTGGAGACAGCTCTCCTGTCTATACCACACCAGCTAAGTTTTGTGAGGTGCAAAGTCTGGCTCTTTATGTAGTTTTAAGGTGTTGCAAACTGCACATTGAATCCAGTTTTCCTCAGACAGTGTCGGTCTGTCTTTGAAGTCTCTTTCTCGGCTGGAACAGTACAGGGCAGCAGTGAAATCTCAGCAGTCTCCCTCCCTCCAGTTTCTGCGCAGTGCTGCCTCCCCGAGGGCGAGCCACTGACCTGGCTGAGGGGGCCACCTCAGAAAGCACAAGGCCGCCACACACAGCGTCATCGGGACCTGCACCCACCAGGGAGACACGCTGCGTGGTCGGGCTGCCCCCATCTGGCCAGGCCTTGGGTGGGGGAGCTGGAGGGAGGGACGCAGAGCCCTCCCCAGGCTCCCCCGTGGGTCGGGCCCCAGGTGGAGGGCTCTGCCCTCGGCATGGTCTCTCCCTGGTGTGCAGCACCCGTGCTGCAGCAGGCCCTCTGCATGCCTGTGGGGATCCCGGTGACTGAGCTGTCTCCGGGGTGGGGAGGCAGACAGGCCTGGGATGCCCGTGGAGGTGGAGGTGTGGACAGGTGTGGTGTGTGCTGGGTAAGGGGGGCCCTGAGCCACCCAGACAGCCGAGGGGCAGCAGCTGTCACACTGCCTGCTCGGTCTCAGCTGTGACTCTTCCTTCTGTCCCCAGAAAATGAACTGAGTGTTTAAGTCAGTAGAAGCTGATTTCCCCACACCCCTGCAGGCGGGCACCAAAACACAGGACCCTCAGCGCTATGAAGCAAGTAGACTTCTCCCTTCGGTGGGACTGACACAGGAGCTGGGGTTCCCGGACTCTGACACGGTGTTTATTCTTTCTGATCATCATTGTCACAGCTCCGTCGTAAGCCTGTAAACGCCACACCTCACTCTCATTAAAGGACATCCTTTATCAGGCCCACAGCTAAATTTCCCAGTGTCCTGCTGGCTCATCTGTCCTGTCTGGCTCTGCCCCCACCATCCACATCTGTGGGGCTCTGGAGGGCGATGACAGCAAAGAGCCTGAAGGGAGCCAGTGGCCAAGGACAGGACAGGACAGTGTCCTGCGGGAAGACGCTCTGCCTGGCAGGGCCCAGGTCTGCGGTGGGTGGGCAGCCAGGCACCCCCAGCCAGCTGTCCTGGATGAGGATCCTCGTCCTCATCAGCCTGATGGCAGGCGGCTCCCGGCTGCCACAGCCAGGCTGACTGTGCCAGTGGGCTGGAGGGAGTGCAGGCCAGGATGCACCTTGGCTCCTGGGAGCTGTGCACCTCACTCAGGACCCAGGTCTTCGCGTGTGCTCAGAGTCCTCCCGAGTCCTCTGTGTCCTTCCACATGCTCCAGGGCCTCCTGCCTGTTCCATGTGCTTTGCACCTTCCTGACCCTCCATCCTCCATGCCCTCCACGTCCTCCTGCTCACTGTATCTTCTTGCCCTACTGTTGGGGGCATCAGCATCTTCTATGGAGGAGAGGGAGCTGCAGACAGGCATAGCGGGGTCCTGGACCAAGGGCCGCTCTGTCAGGGAGTCAAGCTTGTGCCTGGCCAGCGCTGCCCTCACTCCCGCACCCCAGCTGCCCAGGGCACCTGTGCCCCTGCACAGACCCCCCCATGTGCCCTCTCCCTTCCCCTAAGCAGCCAGTGGGTATCTGGACTGGTGAGGAAGTGTTTCTCAGAACCTGGTGTGAAAAAGCCGCCACTGTCATGGAAGATTGGGAGAGACCAGAGGGAGGCAGGCGGCCCTAGGGTCCACAGAGGGTGGCACATCAGGGACTTCCTGACCAGAACGTGGTCATGGTGGCAGGAGACTGGTGGATCCCACGATGTGGGGTGGGGTGAGGTCTTCTGAAGGGTAGGGCAGGATCCCCAGTCTCCTTTGGCCCAGCAGAGAGCAGGTGACTTCCTCCGAAGGGGAGGGTTTCAGTGTAAGGTGGCAGCTGAGTGTCTTGAAACCCTCTGAGGGGATGTTGTGTTTGGGCAATGTGGGCAGCAGCTGACACCCCCAGGAGATGTGTTCAGCACACTGTGATGGACCTGCCTGGTTTCCTGTTGTCGTAGCCGTTGTTAAGTGAATAATCAGCTCACTGTTCTGCCTCTCATGGGGCTGCAGAATTAACTGCACTTCAGCTTGCTGCTTGAGTTACAGTAAAGAACCAGCACTGATAGCTCCACCTTAACACTTCCCATTTAAAATTTGCAGTTTATAGTTACTTACCATCTATGTCTTTCTTTTCTTTTCTTTTTTTTTTTTGGTACTGGGGATTGAACTCAGTTCCTTGCACTTGTGAGGCAAGTAGTAGAACCACTGAGGTAAATCCCCAGCTCCTATAGTTATTTAAAGTAAGACTCATTACAATAATAAAGAACATGTGACCCTTTTCTGAAAAACTGTCCTTTCTCCAGGGAAAATCGCATGAAATCCAGTAGTAATTTAATAATAGTAATGTTTACCATTTATCTTACCAGTTTTTAGCCTTTGACTTTGAGATAGCATGGCCCACCAGCTCTGTGGCAAACATTCTCTTTCTGACACCTGTTTAAGTAAATTGTTTTATTTTAGAAAATCCCCTTCCCCTGGGTGGGAGAGGCGGGACCTAAGTATCTCCAAAGAGGTAAACGGTGGAGAGAATGCTAGGAGTAACCGGTTACCCACTGCTGACTTAGAACTGTTCTGGAAATCAAAAGCGACCACGGAGCGTGGTGAGGGCCGCGTGGTGACCGGCGTGGGGGGCCGGCTGGGTCATTTCCCACTTAGGCCCCAGCGCGCCTCTCGAGTGCCTTGACTCACCTGCCGCCTTCACCAAGCATCACGCCGCTCAGGTGCCTGCCCTGCTGCCACATTTCCCGTCCCACACTCCGTGGGCCGGTGAACCACGTGCGCCCTGCAGGTCGCAGGCCCTCCTGTCACACTCGGCCCCCCACCCCGGATTGCACCTCATTTCAGTGCCCTGGTTTGAGCCCCTCCATCCGCCTGCTGGGGAAGAAGCGTGGGAACAGCTGGGACCAAGTTGAGTCCCGCCTGGGTCTTGGGTCTTCCAGGCCAAGTCTAAGGGGCTCTGGGCCCCTGCTGCCAGCACAGTGTTCCCCTCTTCCTGCCCTGGGGCGTCCTGGGAAATAACTCCAAATGCTGCTGTCAAATGAAGCTTTTCTCTAATTGGCCGTTCCTGCAGTTTTCTTCCATGTGGGGTTTCAGGAGATTCTTTGCAAAATGTCAGAGCAGGGCTCTGGGAAAAGCTGCACAGCACTTGCTTTTGCTCTCTTTGTTTTGAAGCCTTCGCCACCAGGGTTGGCATTTGCAGCACTGGGGACTCTGCCCTCTGCCCTGTGAGAGCCTTCCAGCTCCATCCATAGCACACTGGCTCCCACTGGCACCACGTGCAGGGCGATTATCCTCTGCTGGGAGACCTTTCCACAGCCTGCGTGGAAGAGCAGGAAAGCAGGGTGAGCCTCAGGCTGGCCGCCCCTCCCCTGTGCTTGGGACCTGCTCTCCTTGCCTCGGCCCTTCTGTGCTCCCAGCCCAGACGCCTGCGTGGGCGTCAGCCCTCCCAGCCCCCTGTGACAGACAGGTTACAGATAAGAACTTGGCCTGCGTTTTATTTTGAGACTTTGTAGATTCCTGTGTGTTGTAGGCACTTTGCTTGTTGCTGGGACACAATACCTGACACCACAGTTTAAAGGAGCAGAGATTTACTTTGGTTCACATTTCATCCGTGGTCGGCTGCCTCTAAGGCAGAGCGGCATGATCGCAGGCCCCGGAGGAGGAGAGCTGCTCACAGCGTGGAGGACAGGAAGCGGAGAGAGAAGGGACGAGCCCGGAGGGGGATGAACAGTTCTAGGCCGCGCCTCCAGGGACGCCTCTTCTGACCGGGCCTGCTTCCCCGCTCACGCCAGCTGTAGCCTCCATAATTCATTCGCCA